GCTTCCCCTGACTCTGGTGTCACCAGACTGAGAATAAGTGTCTGCCACGTCCCCAGGCTGTGCTGATGAGCCTCATGGCTCTTGTCTCTCTTGCAAGTGACAACCATAAAGCAGATGAGGATGGTGTGTTTGGCCAGACCCCCAAAGGAAGCAGTGGGGAAGGGGCTTGGCCAGTGATTGTGAGAAGCTGGTTTTGGGGATTGACTAGTTAGGTGAGCTGTCAGCATCCTCTTGAGGAATGTGGAATGTCGTTCAGCATGTCTCTGTAAATTATTTTGTGGGCTTTTTTATCCTTTTGAGGAAAGAGACACTTCACTTCCTCCTGTTATTTTTTTTGAGGTGGGAACTTGTTGCTATTGACTCAGCGAGCTGTGTTGCCTTTTTCCTCATGGAAAATTTAATCCCACTCCAGACCCAGCCTGAGGGGTCCACATGAGCACCAAGCCCATCTCTGTCCGCCCAGGTTTTCCCCAAGAGTCACATTCTCAGCGCGCTCAGGACCATCTTTGAGAAGAACGTGCTGAGCTTCGCAGGTGGCACCATGGGGGCCGTGAACGGCATGAGACCTGATGGTGTGCCCGACACCTCCAGCGTGCAGTCCAACGAGGTCTGGGTCGGTGTGGTCTACTCCCTGGCTGCCACCATGATCCAGGAGGTGAGCAGGAATGCTGCTGCCACACTCACCAGTGTATGCTCCTTGGACGTGCTGATGGTCCTGTTCCCTCTCATGCAGGGCATGGTGGAGGAAGGCTTCCGTACGGCAGAGGGCTGCTACCGGACAGTGTGGGAACGGCTGGGCATGGCTTTCCAGACACCCGAGGCCTATCGGGAGAAGAAGGTGTACCGCTCGCTGGCCTACATGCGGCCCCTCAGCATCTGGAGCATGCAGCTGGCCCTGGAACGCCGGGCTGGCCAGGCACCCGCACCCACACAGCTCCCCCAGGGCTACACCCACCCTTGAGCCTCGTGGCACTGGGCAGGGCACCAGCTGCAGCACAGGCTGGGGGAGTGCAGATGGCAGGCAGGGACCCTCCCTTCTCTGTGCTAGTACTCACATTGCTGTTTTCCTTCCCTACCTCCACTACATGCCCTTGAGCTCAGGGGGCTTCCAGCCACTGATGCTGAGCACAGGGGGGACCAGAGGTGTGTGGGATGTCTCCTCAGAGCACAGTGGCTTAAGGAGCTGCTGCTGGAGCCTGTGTGTCCCCTTCCCCATTGCTTAGGGCTCTGAAAGCCTGCGGGTTCCCCAGCCATCCCAAACTGCAGCTGGTACCTTGCCCAGGAGTACAGGAAAGCTCTCTCCTGCAGTCATTGGGCTGGCTAAGGTGGGCAGCTGTCCTGCAGGGAAAAAAAAAGGTGTGGGTGAATGTGTGTGTGTGTGTGTGAGGATATTGGAGTGGTGCACTCAGGCACACGGATGCTGTAGCTGTCCTGGGGTGCCACTGCACATACTGACTGGCTCTGCCCCAGGAGGGCCTGTGGCAGATACAATCCCCAGGGGAGACCCGGCTCTCCGGACAGTGACAATCTGAGCCCAAGAAGCAGGTCCTGGTCTGGTACCATGGCCCCCTCCCTGCTGGTGCCGGGGGCAGGCAGTGGAGCACATTAAAGGGGATAAATCACTTCAGTTCTTAATAAATCTGTCCAACTGTCTACTCTTGTCCTTCTTTGGTGTCTTCTTTGGCACAGATCCATACTGGAAGAGGGAACTCATGCAATTCCCCTGTATCTTCCTGGACTAGGCTGAAGGGCTAGGGAGGAAGGGAGGGGACAAGTCCCAATGGTGGCTGGCTCCTGTGGAGTTTTGCTGAAGGGAGTAGGATGAGCATTCTTACCCACGGACAGAGGGATGCCCCAGTTCTCTTTCTGTATCAGGATTCTGTGCCCTGCAGTGGGTGGGGAATAACTTGAACTATTTGGAAATATTTGCAACTCCCTATCTGCAGTGGTGAATGGAGAAAGGGGTATCATACTGCTTTTGGTATTGAATAATGCTGAAATGAGTCAGACTCTTCAGTCCCTAAAGTTCAACATCCTGAATAGCAATGTGAAGGTGTGGTAGAACTGGTAAAGAATCAAAGAAAGGAAACCAGCAGGTAATACTATTGATAAGGTATCTAAAGCTGCTGTGCTGCCACAGCTGACATTCTGCTGATAGTCACATTATACTGTAAAAGCTTGCCCCCAGTTTCTGAGGGCAGGGTCTTCTAAAACCCTCCTTCCCAGAAATTCCTCCCTTGCATGGGGATGCCCCCTTCTTGAGGCTGAACCACAGAGATTTGCCCACAATTACTGGTATGGGTAATTTCAGGGTCTACATTAATTAGTTTTGCTAGCTTTAATATAATGAATACTGCTTCAAAATATCACATCATACTATAGAAATTGTTATAGCTTTTAATCTGTAGTAAATAATTCTTATATAGATATTTTTGTCTAATTATCATAATAAATTATTTGTTTTTATATATTTATATCTGATTTGTCATCCTCAGTGCTGTGATATTTTGTTGTACAAAGTATCCATTATACCTGTAGAATTCTTTAGACATAATCCTTTGACAAAATCTAGGGCTAAGTTGGATCCAGCTATGCCGAAACTCTTCCCTGGGCGGGACTCTAGAATGCAGGAAAGTGCTTTCTGAACCTTGTGATTCTGTGGGAGGGCTTATTTAATGAACATTATCTAAGCTCCCATTCTGCCTGTGGCCCTGTCCCGAAGACACCCCCACAATCCCATGTCCCACATCTCCACCATCTCCCAAGGCAGGAGCAGATGTGTGGGCCTGTTCTGTGCCCACAGCCAAGGCTCCTCTGCATGCCATGAGGGTCTGGGGGTGCCAGCCAGGGGACTCTCTGCTCCCAGCATGGGCAGGGGGTTGCTGGCACTGCTGCACCTGAGAACTGCCACTGGACAGTGAAGCTGAAGGTGGGGCAGCTCTTGGCTGCTGGGCTCCTTCCAAGGGTGACACCACGGTCTGCTTGTTGGTGGCTGCCACTGCGCTGTGGCAGGAGCGCAAGAAGGTCCCAGCTGGGGAAAAGGGGTCATGTAAGAGCCCAGCTCGTTTCTCCACAGGCCCTGCAGGTGGCCCTAGGGCTTGTTTGTGTGGCTCAGTCAGTACCAAGGCACAGTGCTGCTTTCAGCCTTGCTAAGCAGCAGGATGTGTGTCCCATGGCACAGCCCCTTGCCCTGGCAGCTGGGACCAGCACGTCAGGAAAGCAACCCTCAGTCTCTGGGCAGGGCAGCAGAGCTGGGGATACTGGGTACCCCACTATAGCAGGGATAGGTGACCCACAGTAGCCCCAGGGAAGCACAGCCAGAGCTGGCAGCCTCCTTGGTCATGGACACTGCACTGTGGCATGGCACAGCGTGGTATAGGACAGTACACCCAGACCATGCAGCTCCTCAGGCACAAAACTCTGTGTGCTGGGGTGGCAGAGCATGGCACAGAAAAAACACGTACACAAGGATGGCAGGGCCAGGGCTTGCAGCCCCTCGCCACCCATCCTACACCCAGGACAGCACAGCACGGCTTGGCACAGCCAGACTGCCCCAGGGCTGCCCTCACCTCCCTGGATGCAGCATCACAGGCCACGAGCAGCGCCAGGGCGAGCAGCAGCAGCAGCCTGGGATGCCCCTGGTGCTGGTGCTCGTGTGTGGTGCCTGGGCTCTGCTCCTTTTATATCAGAGGGGGCTGAGCCTCCTGCCAAGGGACACCCATAAGGTAGGAGAGCCTGATCCCTCTGGACAGTCAGAGTCTGGGATGGGTACTGTGGGAGGTGGCAGGGAGCACAGTTAGGGCAGCAGGTGAGAAGAGAATTAAAGATACTACAGGCAGAGTGTGGGAGCTTGGAGGACACCACAGGTAAGGTGTTGGTTCTCTGAGATGCCACAGAAAGGGTGGAGGAGTTCTGGGGATACCACTAGAAGGGTTATTATCTCTTTCTGGCCATGACAGGACTTCCTTTGTGCCAAAGTGCATCCTTAATACTCAATAGCTATCAGGGCTGGCAGATAGGAAGTAGCCTGTCCTCTCCTCTATGACAATTCTTCAGCAGATCATAACAGTGCCCCAGTGCTTCTAGTGGGTTACAAATGCCTTTTTTTTTTTTTTTTTTTTCAGGGGGATTTTTTTTTTTTTTTTTTTTTTTTTTTTTTTTGTTTTTTTTTTTTTTTTTTTTTTTTTTTTTTTTTTTTTTTTTTTTTTGCTCCCAGGGGAGAATTTCTGGGCAGAGGAATAATGTAATCTGGCAAGAGCAAGCTCCCATATGTGGCCCCACTGCACCTGCTGGTATCTTGCTATGTCAGAGCCCACAGCAAATGAAGGGGGACAAAGATGCAAAGAAGATTTCCCTTGAGGTCACTGTGGGAGGCTGGAGTGGTAGTGTGGCACCACAGCACTGGAGCATCTCACCTGGGCTATCTGCCTGCATTTATCTTGGAACAAAGGCATTCTGGGAATATCAGTTGTCACTAGCCCCTCTGATAGCTGATAGATTTGGAAACACCCGTCCGTATTGCACAATGTCCTGGCCAGAGCTGCCACCCACCCATCTGGCAGCAATAAAAAGGAGAGGAAGCAGGAGTGCCAGCAGAGACCTGCAAGGAGCACATCAGCTGTCTGCCTGCTGCAGCAATGGTGAAAGCAGCTGCCTTCCTCCTTGTGCTCCTCCTGGCCCTGGAGGCTCACAGCCTCTCTGTGAAAAAAAGGTACTGTGAGGGTGGGATGCAGAGGGTGGGGAGGGCAGGGGGCTGTGGCTGCAGGCTGTGCTGCGGCACAAGTTCTGAGTTCTATCCTCTCCAGTGTAACCTGACTGGGCAATGGAAGAATGACCTGGGCTCCAACATGACCATTTATGGAGTAAAGGAAAATGGTGACTTCACTGGCAAGTACCTCACGGTTGTGTCAGACTCCCCATTAAAGATCAAGGAATCACACTACAGGGGTCCCAGCACCACCCAAGTCAGCTGAACCAGCCCACCTTTGGTTTCACTGTCCACTGGAACTTTACAGGTATTTAGTCTTTTCTTAGCATCCTTGTTGCGTCCCCAGACCTCCCTTCTGTCCTTCCCTGCAGATTCTCTGCCTTACCCTGCACTATCCCCACTGCTCTCCCTCTCCTCTCCCTGGAGCTCCCCCATCCTTGTCTATGGAGCTCCTCGGTTGCTGTCAGCTCCCAGTCCCAGGGTGCAGGAGAGGCAGCAGGGGCTGAAGCCTGCACTGTCTGCCCATCTCAGTGTGACACCCCAGCCCTCTGAATCTTCCTGCCTGCTTTCCCCATCCCCTCTGTCCCCAGAGGCTGGGGACAGCAGGGGTCTACTGTTCCCTGTGCTGGGCCAGCCAGTAACCTGCCACATTGGCCATGCTCCCCTCCACCTTCTGTCTTGTCTTCACAGACACCATCGCTGTTTTCACGGGACAGTGCTTTGTGGAAAAGAACCAAAAAGTTTTGAAGACCATTTGGCTGCTGAGGCCATATGCAGAGAAATGCAGAGACAACTGGAAGCCACCGGGTAAGTCCCCTGTCCCTGCACTGCACAGGTCCCCTGTGCATCCCCGAGGGGTTGGGACTGTCACAACTGAGTGTTTTAGGCCACTTAGAAGCCACTCTTACAGGTGTTAGCAAAAGGAGGTTTAATATCTGTTTGCAAAAGCAGGACTTATCAAAGCTCCATGGTAAGGTTCACTTGATTGCTTTGTGCAGGGGTAAAACATAAAAAAGGGGTTAGAATCAATTTAGAATGATTTACATGGAGGCTGGGGATGGAAAAGGAGAAGTGATACCCTTTAAATTAATCACAAATTTCAGGGAGGTACCCACTACTTTCTAAACTACTGATGGATCTGAGCTGGGGCTGATTATGCTCTAAGTCTCAGACCTGCTCCATGGCTTCTGTCTAAAGGATGTGGCAGCACTTAACTATTGACTAATTTAACATTTATAAGGTGATTTGGGAGGGTTTACCACAATTACAGCAGAGACCTAATTGTAGATCCAGGCTGGCAGCAGTCATACTGCACTTGCTACGGGCTGTTCACACCCCATCAGCCATGCACTTGGCAGGATGGCACAGCCCCTGCAGTGGTCCAGGAGAGTTAGAGGGGCCTCACTTAGGAATGCTGTGGGAAAGCCATGGGATGGTTGACTTTAGTCATCAGTCAGTCTTCATCCTAGATGTAGTGTGAGATGGTAATTACAGGAATTTTTCACAGTTGCAGTAATGATAACACTGTTCTACTTGGTCCATGATTTAGGCAAGTAATACCTAAAGGCTTTTGGAGTATTGGTTTCTGTGATAACGAAACAGAAAGACTTGGTGTGTAAAGTGTCTGTGGCAGCTCAAGGGAAGCTTCACCACCTGAGAGACATTTCCAAAGCCAAAGGCCTAAGAAGAGATCCTGAATGGCCTGAGGATGGGGATGAGAGGTGGTGCTCCCAGCCGGTTGTGCTCAGCACTTGGCAGACCTGCTGCCATTGTGCAAGTGAGGGAGGACAGGGTACTTGTGCACAGCTTCCCTGGGCATTCTGACAAGGTGCAAATGTTTTGGAAGGATACAGAGCTGGGCAGGCATTGGGCCACTCCCACCCTTGCATCTTCTCTGTCTGCGTCCCTTCAGAGTTGGCTACAACATATTCAAATGCCTGGAAAAGTTCATGGATTGAGGGTGGTAGCATTGGAGTTCCCAGAGAAGGAGCAGTGCCAGGTTGTAGCACTTCTTCCTACTTCAGCATCTGCTTCTCCCAATAAAGCTTTTCTGCAAACACACAGGGTCCCCTCTCTTTCACACATCAGTGCCTCTGTTCCCTTTCCTCACCACTGGCCTCTCTTGCCACTATCCCTGAAGGCCATTGTATGACCCCTGCTGTGACCCTCCATGCCTTGGGCTCCTCTTGTCAGCCCACCTACCACATGGTCCTACTTGAGACCCCACCTGATGTAGGCCAGCAGGACCCTACTCAGCCTGGAGTGATGGCCTGTGGCCCATGTCCCACTGAGAGTCTGCAAACTGCTCTGCTATCTCCTCTGCAAGGAGTAAGGACAGAGCTGGGAAGACCAGGGGCTCCCCCTGGGCAGGCAGAGCCAGCTGTGCACCCCCAGCATGGCAAGAAGGCAGCCCCAGTGCTGGGCACGGAGCTGCTGGGGCAGCTGCATTCCAGGGCTGCAAGTCCTGGGCACAGCAGAGCAGCTGGAGGGGGATGCTGGCTCCACAGCACACATCTCTGCAGCAGCAGCAGTCCCAAAGGCTCCATCTCTTCCCAAGGGGAAACCCTGAGCAGGCACCAAGGCAGGGCTCTGGGGACACTCACCAATGTCATACTGCAGGCTGATCTGCAGCTTGGGCCACAGCATGATGAGAGCAAAGGAGGCGTAGAAATGGACATCGTAGGTGTTGTACATCCGGTACTCCTGGCCTGGCAGGACAGGGCAGGTGGTGAGGGAAAGGAGACTGCCATGGGGAGGGGAAAAGGGAGGGAAAGGTCCTCCCTCCACATGGCCCAGGACAGGGGGAATCTCTCCCAGCACAGGCACGGGCTCCCGTTCAAAGTGGGTTTCATTCTCTACATAGAGCACAGGGGATGTGGGGAACACTCCATGCCCTATCCTTCAGGGCTGCAAGGGGTTTTCCTGGCAACTGCACTGCTCCCTACACACTGGAGCGTGAAAGACAGCCCCATGGCAGTTTACAAACACATGCAACAGTAACGGGAGGGCTTGGGTTGGGAGAATCCCTCACACCCTCCTGAGTTACCTTCCAAATAAGCAAATCTCCCGTACTCCCGCAGGACAGGGAGGAGGTGGGAGAGCCCCGCACCCGCTGGCCCCTGCAGGTCCTCGGCACAGCAATCGGGGGGCACCTCCACCCAGATGGTTCCTCCATCCGTCATGAAGTAGAGCTCATTGAAGAGGGCTGACTTGTACCAGGAAGGCAGCTGGCTGTGGCAAAGAGGGGAGCTCACCCTCAGAAGCTGGGTGGTGATGCTCCTGTGGAGGCCACTGGGAAGGTGCTTTCATCTGCCCTACCTGTTCTCCAGGATGGGATTCTGCCATGCTTCAATCTTCTTCTCCCGCTCCTCGTAGTGCTTTGGGGCATCACTAATTGTGAAGATCAGTCTGCAAGTGGTATGAACAGCTTTTGGAGAACCACAGCAAGGACTAGCAATGGGAAGTTTGGATACAGCCTGCATTTGGGAACAAGGCACAACATCCTGGAGAGATTTTTAACAGCCAAGGGGGCTGGAGGAAAGAGCTCTGCCCTGGCTTGGGTGCCCAAAACCTCATGGCCACCCACTTCCCCTGCTCCTCCTCCACCTATCCCACCAAGGATGGAGGCACTCACCAGCGGGTGAATCCAGCCTGCCATCCTGCAGGAGGTCCTGCCACACCTCTCTACCCAATCCCGTGGGATTGAATGCCGTAACATGGGTGACTCCCGTGCCAGCCTGAGCAAGGGAAGAGCATCATCAGGGGCCGCTCCTTGAGAGGAGGAGATTAATGCTCTCCCCTCCCCAATACCACCACCAGGACATCACACTCACTTCTCATGTGCTGCCCAGCAACTCTCAACTTGTTGCCTCAGCCGCTCTCCTGACACCATCCCCAGAGAGGGTGTCCTCAGGGAAGTCGTGTCGCCACTCCTGGCGTCAGGCAAGCGCTGAGAAACGGTGCCAACCCCAAGCCCTTGCACCCCCATCCTTTGGCCAGCTGGCTGCAGGCAGCTCCCCCACACGCAGCAGAGCTGCACAACCTCCCCAGCAGGAGCCACAGCAGCAGGGCCAGCCCTTTACCTTCTCCCGGGCAGAGATGGCCAGGGTGAAGGGGTTCACGGCCGGGCAGTGGTGCAGCAGGACCCCAGCAACCCGCTCGCCATCCTTCTGGAAGGTGAAGGGCTCGTTCCAGTGCCCGCCGCTCCCATCCTCCTTCGTTCCCATGCCGTTCTGCAGGCTGAACATGATGGACACTTCCACGTCCTCATCCCTCCCGTTCTCCACCTCCCAGATGAACACTGCCACTGGCAAGCTGGAGTCCTGGCAGAGACGCAGAATGCTGTCTACACAGCTGCTGCTCCACAGGTAGCTGCCCCAGCATCATTTCCCCCACTGCTGGGGAACAGCACGCAGGATGCAGCGGGAACAAGAGCACTGGCGGTAACAACTCGCTCTTGGCGTCTGCTGCCGAGCTGAGCGGCAGGAGCAGAGGAATCTGGGAGGCAGGCAAGACAAAATTCCAAAGAGAGGCAGCCCCGGGCTGGCAACCAGCATGCCGGGCAGCAGAGAGACGCAAGGCGGCCTTTAGGGCTCAGCCAGGTGTCTCATCGCTCATCTCCTCGGCAGGCTGATACAGGCTCACGTGCTGCACCGGGGTAAGAGGAAGGTCAGACGTGTCAGCAGCACAGCTGCCACCCTCGCCTGGGGCTGCCAGCCGGCACGGGCAGCGCTGAGCCATCCCTTGCTGCAATCCCGAGCTCCCGCACGGCTGTGGGGCTTCCCCTGCCCGGACCACTGCAGAGCACAGCCGTGGGGAAACGCCGGCAAAGCCTGGGGAAACGCCGGCAAAGCCTGGGGAAACGCCGGCAAAGCCTGCGGAAACGCCGGCAAAGCCTGCGGAAACGCCGGCAAAGCCTGCGGAAACGCCGGCAAAGCCTGGGGAAACGCCGGCAAAGCCTGGGGAAACGCCGGCAAAGCCTGCGGAAACGCCGGCAAAGCCTGGGGAAACGCAGCTCTGCCCTCGGGGATGCCCTCACCGCCTTACCTTATAGTCATGGGGGATGACGGGAGAGACCTGCCGGCAGGTGAGCACCACCTGCTGCCCCGGCAGCTCGTAGACCAGCCAGGCGCGGGGGTACAGGGCATGGTAAAAGGCGTAGTGGCCGCAGTAGCCCCAGTTCCAGCCCTGCAGGCTGCTGGGTCTCTCCATGGACAAGACCTGCTGGTAAATGGTCTGCCCCTTGCACCGCAGGCACACTGTGAACTGTGGAGGAGAAGAGGAGCATGTGCAGGGGATGAGATGAGCCCTGTGGCAGATGTCTCAGCTGCTGCAGTGACTCTCACCCCCCTCAGTTACCTTGCTGAAAACTGTGCCTAACAATCATTCCATAGTGGCAAAGGCCAGCATTCAGCTCTCCGAGGCAGAGCACCCCCCACCAACACTTTTTCTTTTAGAACAGAATAAAAAGTGATTGCAACTTTACACATGTTATTTGCTGCCTTAAAATGCCCTATATGAATATGTAAGGTGACTAAGACTTGTTCCGTACCTTTAAGTCTGTGGCTCTTCAGTTGCAGGAGGAGAATTGGCTGTAGACTCCTGTCTGTTGGGATAGTCAGAGCAGCTGCTGGTCCTGCAATAACTTAAAGGGAGAGGGGCCGTGGAGAAACCATTTGGTTTGTCACAGCAAAGCTTTCTGGTGGACATTGGCAGGCAAAAGCCTCAGCTGAGAGAAGGGAGCAGCGGCTTTGTCTGTGGGAGGGTAACAAAACACTTCTCTCTGTGTTGGGAAATCAGAGGAGAGCTCCAGGTGACTTTAGCTGGTCACTGTGTTTAACCCAGGATGGGGCTGGGGCTGTGCCTGGGGCTCCAGGCAGGACTTGGTCCAGCCCTCCTGCAGTA